ATATAGCTAAAAATTAATACTTTTATATTATTATTATTATTATTATTATTATTATTATTATTATTAAATGATTAACTATTAAAATTTTATAATATGCACCATTACTAAATAGCAAATGATAAGATTTCTTTAAACCGATGCATTTTGATTCCTCTAGTGTTAAAAATGCTGGGTTCCACACAATCGATTTGTGTTGGGACAACATGAAGGAATTAAGTCTATAAGTTTTTATAAATTTAAGATTAAACATAAAACAATTCAATTGCCCCCAAAAAACTCAAGAATTGTGTTGAATCGGCTCATTTTATATAAGTAGTTTGAAGTTTTTTATTTTGTAGTAAATATATAGTGTTAACTCTCTTTACAGTAGGGTTGTATTAATAACAAGCAAAGAACGACACATTTATTACAGTATTTATTCATCTTTGTTAACGTTAGGTAATGAAAATACAGTTGCTTATTATTTAATTCTCAGTGCATTAACTAATATTAATAAACATGAATTTGTATTTTAATAAAGCAATAATTAGTAAATGTTGAATTATGATTAATAAATGCTGTACAGGTTTATTCTTAGTTCATGTTAGTAAATTCATTAGCTAATGAAACTTTATTGTAAACTCTGACAAATATAGCTAAAAGTTTTATAAAAATATGCTTTTGTTAAACTATTTCTAAGTAGCAAATGATACGATTTCTTTAAATCTTTAAATGAAAGCATTTTGATTCCTTCACAATTTCAGTTAGCATATTAGTTTTTACGGTCACACTTTACAATAAGGTTCATTAGTTAATGTTAATTAATGCATTCACTAACATGAACAAACAATGAACAATACATTTACTACTGTATTTGTTCATGTTAGTTAACGTTAGTTAATGAAAATACAGTAGTTCATTGTTAGTTCATTGTTAACTCATGGTGCATTAACTAATGTAAACAAGCATGGACTTGGATGTTAATATTGCATTAGTAAATGGTCAATTATGATTAATAAATGCTGTACATGTGTTGTTCATGATTAGTTCATGTTAGTAAATGCATTAACTAATGAACCTTATTGTAAAGTGTTACCGTTTGTACAAATTTAAGTGGATTGAACATAAAACAACTAAGTTATCCCAACAAAAACTCATTAAAACGCTTATTTTAAATGTAGTGTATCAAATTAGCATTTCTTTTCGTAATGCATCCATTTTTCAATGATAAAATGCACAAAACTAAGAAAATTTTCATCGATTTCTTACTTTTATCTGTTTGCTCGTTTCCTCTCTTTCTCCCGGTGTCTTTCGCTCTTTGGAATGAGAGATGACAGGGGATTTACAATGATGTGGTTTAGATTTAAAACACACAAACACACACACACACATAGAATAATGCACAAGCAGCTTGGATTGGACCTGATTGGCATAAACCCTGGGATAAAAAGTGACCAGGTCGCTCCACCCTCATCCAACAGCTCAAAAACGCTTGATGCAAAAGAAGAGAAGCTAAAAAAACACATAAAAACAAAGATCTCGAACCCAAAAATAACCACAAAGATCTAATAATAGTGCATTGATGTGATCATAATAAAAACTTCAAACAGACATCTCTCCAAGGGCTATAATAAGAAAGCGCTATAGAAGAAACAACATGAAAAAAGATGATTGTGATTAGTATGTGCAGTCCTTTTGTACAGATGTGCATTTCCATAGGGAAGAGGGAAAAAAATCTAAAGTTGTTTTATATACTTATAGTGTTCGATGATATTGATCATGCAAATGATATTCACCTCAGCAGTTTATTTATTCATTTTATTATTTTAATATTATAGCCTTCGCCGGGTCAGTTGGCATTTGCATGTTCTCCCCGTGTTGGCGTGGTGCTCCGGTTTCCCCCACAAGTCTGAAGACAAGCGGTATGAACTGGGTAAGCAAAAATTGACTGTAATGTGTGTGTTTGAATGAGTGTGTATGGATGTGTGATTAAGAAATGTTGCACCATGGTGCTCAGGATGACCTGAGTTTGATTCCCGGCTCGAGGTTCTTTGCCTATTCTCCCAATGCTTACATGTCTGTCCTCCACTATCCTATCACAATAAAAAGGTGAGACCCCCTAAAACACATCCATTAATTAAGACCATTTGAAGAGTTTAGATGCAAAAACCCAACCCAGGCTCATTCTGAAAACGTAGCCCCGCGGACGTTTCTGGAGACCGCAATTTACGTGGCCGGAGGTACGTATGGCTGCATTTCGTTTTTTGTGGTGGCGTGACGCCACTCCTCTTCACGCTCGCTGGTTGACGGCTCACCTCCTCAGTGTGGAGGGCTTTCCCGCTGCAACCAGTTTGTCCGGTTAGCTCGTTGTGTTACATCAGCGAAGCAAAGGCCCGGAGGAGAAGGAGCCGACCTGGTTCGAGTCCGGGGAAGAGCGGATTCAGAAATCAAGAGACAAAAAACAGAATCCAAAAAATAAAGCGAACAAGTTGGTAACAGGGCGAGAATGCTGTGAAATCCAAAGACGCTGTCGAAATTGGACAAGGATTTTCTTTTTCTGGACGGCTTTTGTAAATCATCGCTTGGATTTAGGGAAGAAGGAGGAGGAGGGTGGCTCGGTCAGCCGATTGGCCGGCCGCCCAGTCAATCGTTCAGTCATTCAGTCAGTAAGTCAGTCAGACGGACGGACGGTCACTGGACAGCGGCCTCCGGCGGCTTTTTACGCGAGAACAGCGCAGGCACGAACGGCTTGCGCTAGCGAGAGGCGTTTCAGATGCAAAAAAGCACACACAGCGGCCTCTCACCGATTCGCAAAAACAAAAACTGGACAAATACATACCTCCCGGGACGTATTTTGCGGTCTCCAGAAACGTATGCAGGGCTACGTTTCCACAATGAGCCTGGATTGCAAAAACCTCTAAATGCTGTCTGAAATTTTCTTCTAAAATAAGCATTTCTGTTAGACTCCTTTGTAAAGGTTTAGTAATGTCACTTCATGGCAAAGAATATGTCCTTTTTTATGGTCTTTAATGTAAAATAATTCAACATAAACAAAGGAGGCTGTGAAAAATGCTCCTTTTTAATGGAAATTTAGAGGGTTTTTTGCATCTGAGCTCATCATTTATTAATTAAAAATAATTTTAAACAAAAAAATGTAGCCTTCTGGTAATTTTCTGCCAGTACATTATCTTTTTTAGACAGATTAATTTATATTTAACGGTGTATTAGTGAGTAGTTAGGAAAATACCTTCTATAGCACTGCATTTCCTGTTTTAAACAGACTCGCTGAGCACTGAACTCTCTCTCTCACACGCACACACACAGATGTATTGCTCTCTGTCCCATTTGTGTCAGAGGATGCAGGAGGGATTGGGAGGAGATGGCGCAGCTTCACAGTCATTAATCTGTTGCTCTCAGCAGCTTTAAGCACTGCATTCATAACAGCGCGCTATTCATCTTTCACAGCACTTCCAGCATGCACAGGAGACGCGTTTATAAAAATCTACTTTTATTTTGCTTATTTTGAACATAAATCTGCTAAAATAATGATGCAAAAAGAAGTACACTTTTGCATCGCTTTAAACAGAGTACACACAGCTAAAGGCAAAATAATAAGCCCATAATTTATCATTATTATTTGTAATATTGGGCGTAGCAGTGGCGCAGTAGTGCTGTCACATCACAGCAAGAAGGTCACTGGGTTGCTGGTTTGAGCCTCGGCTCAGTTGGCGTTTCTGTGTGGAGTTTGCATGTTCTCCCTGCGTTCGCGTGGGTTTCCTCCAGGTGCTCTGGTTTCCCCCACAGTCCAAAGACATGCAGTACAGGTGAATTGGGTAGGCTAAGTTTTTAAGTAAAGTCAACTAATCGCTTCAAAAGCTGCAGGTTTACTCTCATTTTTAAGTAAAGTCAACTAATTGCTATAAAAGCAGCAGGTTTACTCACTTATTTTAAGTAAAGTCAACTAATCACTACAGGTTTACTCATTTATTTTAAGTCAGGTCAACTAATCGCTTTAAAAGCAACAGGTTTACTCACTTATTTTAAGTAAAGTCAACTAATTGCTATAAAAGCAGCAGGTTTACTCACTTATTTTAAGTAAAGTCAACTAATCACTACAGGTTTACTCATTTATTTTAAGTCAGGTCAACTAATCTCTTTAAAAGCTACAGGTTTACTCACTTGTTTTAAGTAAAGTCAACTAATCGCTTTAAAAGCAACAGGTTTACTCATTTATTTTAAGTAAAGTCAACTAATCACTTTAAAAGCAACAGGTTTACTCACTTATTTTAAGTAAAGTCAACTAATCACCTGAAAAGCAGCAGGTTTACTCATTTATTTTAAGTCAGGTCAACTAATCGCTTTAAAAGCAACAGGTTTACTCATTTATTTTAAGTCAGGTCAACTAATCACTTTAAAAGCAACAGGTTTACTCACTTATTTTAAGTAAAGTCAACTAATCACTTCAAAAGCAACAGGCTAACTCGTTTATTTTAAGTAAAGTCGACTAATCGTTTTAAAAGCTACAGGTTTACTCACTTATTTTAAATAAAGACGCCTAATTGCTTTAAAAGCAGCAGGTTTACTCACGTTTTTAAGTAAAGTCAACTGATCACTTTAAAAGCAGCAGGTTTACTTATTTATTTTAAGTAAAGTCGACTAATCGCTTTAAAAGCTACAGATTTACTCACTTATTTTAAATAAAGTTGACTAATTGCTTTAAAAGCAGCAGGTTTATTCACCTATTTTACGTCAGGTCAACTAATATAAGTATAAGTAATAAGTAAATAAGTAAAATCAACTAATTGCAAAACAAACAACAGGTTTACTTGTGTTTTTAAGTAAAGTCGACTAATCCCTTTAAAAACATTGGGTTTACTCACTTCAAATCAAATAATCAATTATAAAAATGTGCGAAATGAAACCAAGAATTAATTTGTAAATGCATTTTTTTAAAACATGATTGTCATAGTTGAACCAATCGTAACCACAAGGGCTGCTACACTTTTACTATAATAAAAGCATGGTTAATCAGAGCAGTGATGCCACAGGCCTGCACAGAGGACATGAGAGCGAGCGCTGAGCTGCCCTTGATTCTCCGCTGTGTGAGACTCAGATTATCAGGGATTAAGAGACTGACTGCCGCACAGCTGTTCTGCCTCATCCAGATCTCATTCAGTCCATCACTCGCTCTTCATGCCTTCATTCAGCAACACTGCATTCAGGACACAGCCAATGAAATGCTTAGGGCGTGTGTGTGTGTGTGTGTGTGTCTGTGTGTGTGTATGAAAGAGTGTATGGGTGTCTCTTAGTACTGGGTTACAGCTAGAAGGACATCCTCTGTGTAAGACCAGCTTGACCTCTCAATAAAACTTAAATATTTTACATTTTGTCAGTTTAGTGGCTAATTCGTACAAGCGTTCATTCGTACGAAATTGTACGATTTAAAAAAAGAGGCGTGGCACCTAACCCCACCCCTAAACCCAACCATCATTGGGGGATGAGCAAATCGTACTAAATTGTACGGGTTAGATTGTACGAATTAGCCACTAAATCAAAGAGTTACGAATTGCCGTGAGATTATGTTGGTAAAACATATGCTGGATTAGTTGGCGGTTCATTCCACTGTGGCGACCCCTGATAAATAAAAGAAAAATGAATGTATAAATGAACAATTTTTGTCATTTACAGTGTATTTAGCTGTAATATGAACTGCATTTTACTGTAGAGCCCTTATGCAGTATGTTACTGTATTTTAAAGCTTCATTGTGAAAATTACTGCATATTGTGCAGTAGAGATATACAATACTGTAAATATACAGCAGGATAAATGGTGCTGTAAATGCAAATACAGTATATTTGCTGTAATTGAGTTACAGTAAGTTACTGCAGATTCTATAGAAAATGATTAACAGTGTATTTTAAATGCAAAGCAAAAAGAAACACAGCAGGTTCATGTGGCTACTTGGACAGAGTACAGAGCGAATACATTTTGTTCCTTCTGCAATTTCCTTTGTACAGGAACACAGTGAAAAGCCTTAAATGATCTAGTTTTGAGGTGTTAAATGAGAAGGGACATGTAAACCCCAGAAATCCACAATGCTATATGTGGAGGCAAAGTCAGTGTCACTGCAGCATTCCCAAAGCTCATGCCATGGAAATTACATAAATCCATGTGCAAAACAAGGGGCAAAGGTTCAGCTGGCTTTAGCACCATCCTGTTAGCTGCTGCTGCTCAATGCCGTAATAATCCACTGGCCAAAACTACTTTCTCTATTGAAGGGGATTAAACAGTCTGTCAGCATCTCATTTTGCAGCAGAAAAATAGCAGTTAAACACATGCTAATGCA